GTTCTCTCTATCTCTCCAACGCTCCCTTGCTCCGGCTGCACGTTTAACTCCAAGACCTCCCCCTTGCAGCTGAAAATGGTTGCCCCGGACGTCGACCCGTGCCAGGATTTCTTCCAGTTCGCCTGCGGAAAGTACCTGAAGGTGTTACACGTCAAAACTGATACCTATCTCGTTTTTAGAACAATCCACTCAAGCCGTTCGATCTATCCGTGGGGGTCGGCAACGATTTGGATGCCCTCGTGACGAATACCATCATTGGTGGACACAAATGGAGTTATATGGTGTCATAAACGATTTCAGACTTCCTGACTCGGGTTCCCTCCAACAAAACGGCTACTGTAGCTGATCAAAAAGTGCACAAGACGTACAAAATGTGTCTCGACACCAAGACAATTGGATGGGGGTATTTTCCTTACAAGGGAAGGCTGCGAATTGAAAGTTGCACTTTGCAATGAAAAATAGTTGATCCAGACCGGTTTTTTGCACTGATTCCGGATCTGAAGTCAGTTTTTGCCTAATGGATATCTTTCTTGTCGAGATATTTGGCATTTTGCAAAACTTTACGGCTGAAGCCGGAATAATTATGAAATTCCGGTCAGTGGGGTAAAAAATTATTGTGAATCCGACGCTATTGAAAGAAAAATTTACCATGGTTGATAATCCTTAGTTTTTAATATCTTATTTTTTTGCGTTCGAGCACGAGAATTGTCTTTCACTACGAAGTCAAACTTTCAGTTCGCAACCTTCCCTTGTTAGGTGTCAAGGACAAACTGTTTTTGTAGCCCGGTTCGCGACGTCCTCAAGTCGGTCGGTGGTCCTCCATTGTTTGGCAAGCCTCGGCCGGGCCTGGACGCAGTGATCGACCGAACGGGCGCGGACTCGGCGCCATTTTTCGAAGTTCGCCAGTTTGATGACGACGTCGGGGAGCTGGGCGTTCTCTTTACGCGCATCCCTTGGAAGCTGCCGCTCCAGCTCGTCGCCCAGAAGTTACTCGTCCAGGATGTGGGCCAGAGCTCTCTCCCCTCCCTCTTTCTCTCCCTCTCTCTCTCTCTCTCACTCGCTCTCCCTCTCTCATACCAACTTTTTTTTAGCTGGCAAAAATGATGGCCGAAGCCTTTGGCGAGCCGGATACTGAACACCTGGCAGCAGCTCGTCAAAAAAGTGCCGATCGCTACGGCGAGTTCTTGGAAAAACTCGACGAGGTAGATTCGACTCCCTGCCCCAATCCTGAACTAATTCAGATCCGTCCTCTTGGCAATGACACCTACGTTTCATTGAACCTCACTGACGCCGAGGAGCTGCTGCCTAATGTGGGATATCAGACGGTTCTGCTTACGGCGGTTCTCTTCAGCTCCACTTCCGGACGTTCATCAAGAACCGTTTCGCGACCCGCGAGCTGCCCCAAGCTATCTGGTTCCAGCATTTCGACTTTTTCACCAAGGTATGGTTTTGGGTGTCGAATGAAAAAGTCACTTCCCAGGCGCCAAAAAATGTTCTTACACGTCCCGTAACGATTGGAATTTCAGACTGAGAGCGATCTTGACTAAAGCTAAAATGGTTGGAATTTCAGGTGGACGAGCTGATCGGCGAGTACCCGAAAGAGGCTATCGAGGCTGTGGTCGCCTCGTTCGTCCTGGGCCGCATCCACGAGATTGGTGAGAAGTACGAGGAGATCAACAAGGTCGGGAGCCACCCCTTAAAAGTTAAGACGGAATTGTTTAGAAATGGACGTCGCTGAAAACGGAGCTGAAAACATATTGTGCTCGCCAGGTTGGTTTGCCCAAGGCTTCGATAGCGTTGAATTTTAGATGGTTGTCTACCACCCGCGCTGGACGGATGCTTTGGTACTGGAACGCCTCTACAGGAAGCGCGACTTGGACAGCATTCCAGTAAGGCCTTTTGAAGAATCTTTTGGGTTTGACGTGCTTTTATGACCCCGGATATGGCTAGTATTTTAGCAGCAAAAGTTTTTATAGATAGGATACAAGCAAAAAACGGCTTAAAATGTTTGAAAAGTTGAATTTTCTGGAGAATCGAGATTTTTGGATTTACGGGTTCTGGGTCTGAATTTTTTCATAAAAGTGCAGAAACGCCTAGTAAGGCGAACTTTTAAGTAGCTTAACAATGTTTATGATAGAATTTAGCAAAATTTGAGGCACAGAATTACCAAAAAAATTAGAAAATGTTAAAATTGAACGTTTGGGCGCCAAAAGGGAGACTTTGTATATGCTTAATAAACGTTTGAATAATAATCCCTTTATAAAAAGTAGAAACCATTGTAGTAACACTTGCAAAAGAACAACATCCCGATGTTACCAAAAAACCAGCTTCATTTCAGAAGCTGATGGTCAAGGTACGCAAGGCGTTCTACGAAATCGTCCACGAAAGCCCGTGGGCCGATCCGCCCACCCAGGAGATTGCTGTGGCAAAGGTAAGAAAGTCCGGTGCTTCCAGGTTAACGGGGGCGGTTATTTTAGCGGGGGGGGGGTGCCAACTTTTCTTTGTTTAGCGTATACCTGCCTATTGATAAATTGTAGTTTCCTTATAAGGTCTCCGACAATCAAAAGTATACCAAAATACTCGCCAGAGCAGGACCACATTTTGGTATACTTTACACACCTGTAGATGAACAGGGAGCCGAGATACAAAAGTTGGGTGCCGGCTGGGGGAGGGGGTTATCTGGAGACTTACCCATAAATCTTTCAACATTTTTTATGATCTTTCACAATTTCTCCTCCCCCGCTAACAGTCTAGAACCACTTTAAACGGCGTATAGGGAAATGGTAAACTTTTAATTAGTCGATCCGTACGCGGGTAATGGAAAAAGGTTCACAACCGCCCCCCCCCCGCCGCGCTAAAATAACCGCCCCCCGATAACCTGGAAGCACCGAAAGTCCGTGGTTTCTCGAAAGTATTTTAAGATCAAAAACATCACGATGCTTGTCGGGCAAGACATCAAGACCTGGCCGCGAAGCCTGGTGGAGGCTTTCTATAAGCTGGTGCGGCGGGTTTTTTTGTACTCACACTAAAAATTGCAGTACACCCCCGCTGATGCGCCAAATTGGGCTGTATTTCGTGCGAAGCGCAACCGGTGGACCGGCTACAAAGCGTTTAACGTATAACTGGACTGTTAATGGGGGGTAGCCGGGGAAGCCCCTTTGCGTAGCAAAAATGTTAGTTTTCAAAAAACTCAAGTTTCAGTTTTCCAGGCAGTTTTTGTATAAAAACATCAGAAATTATTTTAGAGAATTTGAAAAATGAAATTTTGATGCTTTTCATTTTTCGAGAAATTTGAATATTTTTAATGCATTTTCTATACATGTTAGCTATCCTGCCCCCGCCCCGCCCCCCGTTAACAGTCCAGTACCTGTGAAACTATTCCCGACTCTTCAGGGCACTGCCAAGCCGACAAATGCCCTCGTCAATGCCTTCAACTCCTATAGCAAAATTCGTAGTTTCCAACTTGCAACAAGACCTGTTTATCCAGAAATCATGTGGGGCATGTTGGCGCCTCCCTTCTACTCGGCGAACGCGGCGTTG